GAAATGCACAAACATGGAAGAAGGCAAAAAAGCATATCTATCTTAGGTATCAATAGTAAATTTATTACGAACCCGGTTACAAGAGAAATATGGGGATTTTCCCTTTATTAGTGTCGGCGGCGAATCCCTTGGTTCTCTCTTCTTTTAGCAGGATGAGTGGAACCGTCTTCCCCAAAAGCCAAACCTCTCTAATCAATTTCCATTCGATTCGATCTCACGGCTGATAAAAATATGGGGATCGCATCATCCAGTTCTTCTCGAAACGACCAAGTCCGGCCGGAGAAAGTGGTAGATCCGACAGCTGATTGGCCAGACTTTGCGAAGGATCTTGTGAGAGAGATGGAAAGGGAGTGCAACGCCATCGCCGGGTCAAAGGAAGGAGACACAGAGGAGGAAGCAGACGCGCGGTTTCGTGAGTTCATGAGACGAGGTGGTTGCAAAGAAGCATATAAGGCTTTCGAAGATTGCTTGGAGGAAACTGGAAATGTCCCCAAGAAGTGTAGGGAACGCTTTACGTTGCTCTTCAAGTGTATGTAATAAAAAGGTGAAACACACAGAGAGTGATCTATTTTTACCACACTAGCCACGTATGTGCTTAATACACAAAGTTCTAACTTGAGCATTATGCAATAAAAAAGGTGAAAACACAGAGAGTGATCTATTTTTACCACACTAGCCACGTATGAACTCACACAATCTGAATTTTCGCGGTGTCCTAACTTTGTATTGTCTGTTTTGCCATCAAGAATTTGTTATTAGCATTTTGCAAGGTATAAGGATGTCTTTCAGGTGAATAATGAATCAAGAACATAACATTACCAGTCTGATGATGGTATCACTCAAAGCAGTTTCTCCAATTAATTTCTGACTATAAACTGTTTTGATACCACTAAGGACAAACTCATTTCCTTTAGTTCAAATTATTGGTAATTGGCAAAATTCAAAAAGTTCAATCCAAATTATTACCATTTGTTATGAAGCAATGTATGTAACTACAGATAGATTAACCAACAGTTGCAAGATTACCAATCCAAACCTAAAGCCATACATGGTTGAGGAACTTATACTGGTGTTTCCTATAGTTCATCATGTTCTGAATCAATGTCACCTGGCATTACAATGAGTTTGGTTGGTCAATGATTACAACAGATAATACTAAATCATGGGACGAGGAAGACTTTTTAGGAATCAAGACAGGTGAAGAACCAAACCTGAAATCACATCCATGGAGAAAAACTTGATCTCTCTTTCAGCTGATGATGTTGAATCCGAACCATGTACACAGTTTCTTTGCGAGTCCTTACCGCATAATGCTCTGATGCTGCAAGAACAAGACAAGGGCGTATAGTAAATAGAATGGAAGAGCAACCTAATGATTCGTTACAAGTCAAAACAATGATTCCAAATGATGCAACCTAAGACTATGTCTATCTTAGAAATTGCTTAGGGAACATATCAAACCTGTGTGGGTGAGATATCTTAGCTTTCTTCGCATCCGTTGGCCCGATTAAACCACGCCAATCAGAAACCCCGTTTCTCTTCTCCAATACCATCACAAACACCGGACCACTTGTTTCAAAGATATATTCACACACATTAGCAAAAAGGATATGTGGTGGGTTAACAACAACAAAAACTTACACACCTTGTCATGTATGTAACCAGATGAGAAAAAAAGCTCCTTGATGAATGCTCCTCGTAAAACGCAGAGGCTGTCTCCTTGTCCAGCTCAGTAAGCATCTCCTTGACGATATCGAAACCGGCCTCGAAAATGATCCTTTTGATTTCGTCAGTGTAGTTACCAGAGACACCATCTGGCTTTATCATAGCCAATGTTCTCTCTTTACCACTTGCTCCATTACCTAAACACCTAACAAGTTTTAGCACATCAAGTCGGATAAACATCATCGATCACCACAGAAGTTCAAAAAATGAAACAAAGCCGGATTCATAGCGATAGATGTTTATAATTGGATTGAAACACAACTAGCAGATCCATTCCAATAGAGTTCACAGACAAACCGATGAGTTATAAGATAGAAAACCTAGCTTTTTCTCGCTCACCTGAAAGGGGACAAGGAGACAGAGACGAGAAGGAGGAGGAACAGTAGTTGATCTGCGAATCTTGACATTAAACTTGATCGGAGAACAGATCAAGCGCAGTGAAATGAAGAAGAGAAGACAATTATTTGGTTTGATCGGGGAAGATAACGTGGACTTTGTTTTCTGAATTGACGAAGCCCTCTTCCAATTAAACGCATAACGAAGAGAAATCAGGATCGGGGAAGACGATGATGGGTTTAGGGATTGAGAGTTGATAATACATTTGAAACGACGCCGTCTTAAACGGCTTAAATCTGATTGGTTCATTCTTTTTCCTACGTGGCAGTGAGTTTTTTTATTTGCCACTTACCATCAACTGAGGAAAAGAAATGTGATTTCCAGAAAACAAATTAAGTCGTCATACATTCCCAGTACTTTGATGAACTATTTACTCGACCATTTGAGAAAACATAACCTCCAAAAAAAAAAAAGAATCATACATTCTTAGCTAGGTTAAATAAATTAAACTTATCATCTGTCTGAATTTTTTTTCCTCTAAACTTTGTCATCAAAAGTCAACTGTTTTGGTGAAAATCATGCAAAGTAGAAACTAGTCCGCAATGGAAGTATTTTATTTGTCCAAGACAATTATTTGTGCAATATAGAAGGAAAAACGATAATTCTGGTCTGTGACAAAAAAAAAGGATAATGAAACATAATTAATGTGTTATTTATCTATAAATTCTTAGTGTTTTTACATTATGTGGGTTTACAAACGCATATGCCATGTTTGCATTCGTAGTTCCACATTTTTTTGACAAAGAAACAATAGGGAATACAAGTAAATTTGACGTTTACAGTGTACGATTCCATTGTTGTAAGACCAAACGTACATCCTTAGATTCCATCAAACGTCTCACTGATTCCACCTTCTTAATCATATCTCCATGTGCAATACCTACAAATATACGTTCATTATAAACAAAGTTAAGTACCCGAAAACATAATTAGATGATTGAAACTTGTTCAACATAGAACAAACTAAAAGACTCACATAAATTCATGAGAAGAAATACAACCACCGAAAACACTACGATAGATTTCATGTTTCTCATTTTGTTCAGATACATTCAATGTTATCTTACTTTCATGCACTCCTCTTTACCTATATATGTATATATTAAAATGATCCCCACTTTTTATTAAAACATTACCTCTTTTGGTTAGAAAGTATTTTTGATATTATCCAAAATCAAAAGATCATGTAACTCGATTTGGCAAAAACGGCATATCTTCCTCGAGATTGCAGTACCGCGACTTGGTTCAAATGGAACTGTAAACCTAAATCGGTCTTGCAAACCAAGACTGATTGAACCAGAATGGAGTTGCTCCAAGTCTAATGAG